TAACTTCTTTGTTTCTTAAGATATACACAAATTTGAAATACAACTATATATGTTAGCAGAAGATTCTATCCCGTAATCCTAAACAACACTAAAACTATCAACTTCTAGACCCAAAGAGAGTCTTTAAAATTTTTCTTAAGTTTAATATTTAGTGAAATAAATTTTAGTTTTACAGTGAATATTCATAATTGAATACAAATAAACTACACTATAAAATTGCTGTCCAGCTAGTATTGATGTATGTTATGTATGGACATGTTATGTATGTATGAATAGTTTAGTATGTATTGATTAAGGAGCAAGAGCAATGTTTAGATTTATGTATTTACATACATGTCAATTTAATAACAAAGTATTATCTGTATTTCTCATATTGAGCTCTAGTTTTCCTACATTTCCTCTAAGAAATACCAGATGGAGGAGTTGATGGAAATGATACAGAAATTAATATTGAAGTAATGGCTTGACCTTTTTAAGATGAAAAGCTTGCCAAACTTTCCATATTGACATGGCAACGTTTTAGGAATAAATCTAATATCTTTTAGATTTAGCACAGTTCAAAAGTCACCATCTGTTTCAAAAAGTGAAAGTTCTCACTATTACGTAGTTTCTTGGCTCTAAGACTAAAAGCAGGCAATCCATATAACATTGACTATCAGGAATATGTGAGAAACTTTTATATATTTTAGAAAATCAGAAACGCAAAGACTTTCTGAATTATTCTCAAAGCTATGTTGATAATACACTATGGACATTCTTTCTTCTTACATAAACTTGGGTAAGTCTCCTGCTCATTCTCTATGTGGAGTTATTAGTCAATACCAGCAGGGAAGCAAGTTGTAGTACAAAGAATTAAAGTGGGAAAATTGCAAAGAAATAGAACCTGATTTTGAGGAGAGTTGTTTGAAAGGTCTTTGGCAAATTAAATATGGTTATTATAAGAAGTTTTATTTTTTTCCTTTCTTATTTTTTTATAAATTATTCACTAGTAAATCTCTTCAATTGATATACCCAAAATCAATCCTACTCAGAATCCTTTTTTATTTCCTATTCTTTTGAGGTTAATGCTGGTTTTGCATTCTAATAAATTTTTAATGTACTTTCTTCATCAAACAACTGTGGGAAATAATAAATAAGATAAAACAGGAGGTAGAAATGAGCCCATTTACAAAACTCAGCAGCAGCTTTTTTTAGTTTGTTTTGTTTTCTGGGCCAAATATATAAGAAGGTAATGTGACAAAAATGCTTGCAATGGTTTTACCTGGTTTGTTCGAGTTTTCTCAAGTGCTAGGCTTCTTGCTGCCCAAATATCAAAAACATTTCTAGCTTTTGTTCAATTGGTCTTAAACCAAGCATGCATTTCTTTACACTGACCTGCTACTGCAAAGTGGCTGTTAAGGACATGTTGTTCTGCAGTCATGCAATTCTTGGCCAACATCCACTAGGCTTTGGATACCCTCAGAGCTTGTTAACCAAAATTAATGATTAGATATTAGAGTGTACCTTAGATATATGCATGGCTAACTTTACACCTCTGGATAAATCTTTGAGAAAATGGTGTCAGGTGTTTGAGGTGGTAGAATATACTGAAGGTAGAATAGGCTGTGTGGCTTTTAAACATGCAGATAACACAGTAAATTACCTTGAGGAAAGAACACAGGACTTCTTTAGAGAACAAAATAATAGATAAAGAGACAGTTTTTCTATAGGACAGACACAAAAAGTATCCGAAAAATTTAAACTTGAGAAACTTTAAAAACTATATATATAGTGTGACAATTTTTCTGAACTTCCCCAAAGGAGAATAACCCTTGTGAAAACCAAGACTCTCTATGTAATCTCTTTCAAAAATTTTTTGAAATGAAAGACAAACTGTGCATGAGTATGAATTACAATGTATCTGTAGAACTGTGATCTCTGCTCCATTCCATTTAAGAAGAACTTCTATCTTGGTACTGAATTGACCTCAATCACTACAAGTGGCTTATTTGAGTTTGTTCTACTTCTGTTATCTATCCTACAGCTGTAATGCAGATTTAGTATGAAGAAATACGGACATGTTTATTCTCCGGGGCTAATAGCAAAATAAAATTCAAAGCATCTTTTACATGTTTACCTTAGAGCTCATTTTATTAATTAAAAAATAAGTTCTTAACCAGGTGATAGTATTTTATTGTTAAGAACCCTTAAATATAAGAGAAATGACATCAACATTCATATAATTAAAAATAACCTAATTCACATGATTTTTAGGGTAAACTTTATTATGAATTTGTATAGAAAGAGTCCTGTTAGTGAGAATTAGGATAGCTAGGATGAACTGTACAAAAAGACCCATTAGTTTTAAACTATGCCCAGTTAAGGATGGAGAAGTAGGTGACATAACAACTGGACAGATAGGGATAAAGCAAAAGGCAGTCATACACCAAAGGATGTACACAAAGACAGAAGTCTCAATATGTGTGTCTTTCTCTATTTCCTACCCTCTGGAAGGAATATTTTCTCATGTATATTGTATGTTGTTGCTCCAAACTTCTAAGTGACTTAAGTACTCAATTACTCTATTTTTCTATGCATCAACACCTTCTGATTGACAATTAAACATGCTTAAATCTCTGTCATCTTACATTTTCCCCCTCTTAACTCATCACCTCCCTCTGGTTACCATCTTACCTCTTTCTACACCTTCACAGTTAAACTTTTTGAAAGAGTGGTCTACTCTTGTTATTTCAAGTTTGTCCAATCTGGTTTCTTACGCTATCCCCGTACAATGAATTCTTCAGGCCATGGGATCTTGTGGATAGTCCAATGGACTATCAGAACATCTGACAAACCTTTCCATTCCCTTCCCAGACACCCCACTCCTTTTGTTTGCCTCCTACTGTTCTAGTTACTCCTGAGATCCTTTTATAGTTTCATCTTCCTCTACTCAGTCATTAAATGCTAGCTCCTCAAGACTCAGTCCAGGCAATTTTTTCTACTCACTCTATACTTTCATCCACACCCATGATTTCAATGACCATCTGCACACTGATGACTCATAAATTTATATCTCCTATCTAGACCTCTTCTCTGAGGTCTATATCCATATATTCAACTTGCAAACTCCACTTTATGTTTCATAGGCACCTTAATCTCATTATGCTCAAACCTGAACTCACAATCTTCTCTATCAAATCTTCTTTCATTGCTTGTTATCTCAACAATAAAATCTTCTATACATTGCACAACAGGAAATAAATATTTATTTTTGACACCTCTCTTTTCACTCTGGTATTAATCAGTCACAATTTTACTCCTAATTTTATTTTACTTATTTTTTAAATATATTTTTTATTCTTGAAAGTATTACAGATGTTCCCTTATACCCCACTGACCCTCTCCACATGCCCCCTCCCTCCCCCGGGCCTTCACCACACTATTGTCTGTGTCTATGGGTTACTCCTAATTTTATTTTAAATATGTGCCATTGTTTGTTTAAAATGATCGTATTATCTAAAAGGATGACATTATCAATAGAAATCCCTTTTAAATTGTTATTTAACTTCTCATTTGCCTCTTTTTTGTTGTTGTTGGTATCAACTGCTAACCTTTGTAAGAGAGATGATTGAAATTAGAGTAAGCCCATTGCTCTGAAAATTTATTTTATCCATACAGAACTCAGTGTTCCAAAAGTGTATGCTTAATTTATGAATAATAATTTCTGTACTTTAGGGTAATTTCATTGCTGTCTTGTCATAATCAACTGAATTGCTCAGCCTAGATATCTCATCTCTTTATTCAGACATTTACTGAGCAACTTTCCATCTGATGCCTTGGCTAAGTACATTAAAAATGAGTAAAATACTCTCCCTGACTTTATAAGGAGTTTCCATTTTCAGATTTTTGTCAATTCCCTTGATTTCATTTTCAGATTGATGCAGACCCTGGAAGTTTATTTGATTTATACAACCTTCATAGGTTAGCCAAGATTCCTGCTGATCAGACTAACTTATCCAACTGTCATATAGCATGCAAACTCAGACACAAAATATTATTTTTAACTGAGAGTAACTTTAGAGACCATAATTGCTAGCTTGCTGCACTGATGAAAAATTTTAAATTCTTGATTGGTATGTGAAAATTTTGTTCAGTAATACCCTTAGGATACAACTATTGCTTTTAGCCATTTCTCTCTCCTGAGATTCCCTTATACTGAAGCATGAACTAATTTTAAGATTGATTTTCAAAACTTTATTTGTTCCAGAAAGATATTTCCATTTAATATTCAGTTTTTCCCTTTTCTGTGCAGTCAATGCAGCTGTACTCTTTTCACTCAATAGATATTTTGTTAAACAATTGAACTATACCTTAGCTGTACCTGAACAACCAGACTATTTATTTGTTCCATTATATTCTGAAAACAATTGATTCCTTTTGTGTACAATTTGATTGTGTCAAATTAAATCTTAGCTTAACTTGTAGTTTACTCCACTGAGCCAAACCGCTAGGGCGTTTACTCCACTACTATTTGGTCTTGTCTAAAACATCCACTGAGATGAGACATATGGTCCAGGCCAAATGGTCCTTGATTCAAATAGCCCATAATATTTATGTATACTTGTGGTTCATAGGACTAATATATTAAAGATATTACCATGTTTTATTAGTCCAATACCTATATCGTGGCTGTACTGCCAACAATAACCCTTCTTGCCTCAATAACAGGTATCTAACTGGTAATGGCACATGGGTTAGGGAGACTGGTTGGGGTTAGGGACATGCAGAAAAGAAGGTTTATATTAACTATGCATGTTTTGGATAGGACCAATGTTCAACAATCCTTTGGACAGGATTACATGCCCACTAGTCCTCCACCAAACTGAAAAAAAAGGATTACCAAAACAATTTCAGATGAAACCTTTTGTCGTTCTGTATTTGGGTGACTATTACCCATATAAATACCACTTAAAAAACAAGGCTCAGCACTACAGTTTAAAAAACGACTGTGGAGCACTTACCACATGGTGATAGGGATGAATGCATTTGTGTTAGTGCTATAATTAGCAGAGAGAGTCAAGCTATTTGGGGAACTTCCACATCCATATTTAACTGTGGGCCTTCCTTCCACCAGAAATAAATGAAGAAACTGTTATCCAAAATTCTTCTCATGACCTTTAGGAACAAAATTACATTAAATTAGTGAGAAATGTAGATTTATTATATTCAATAACAATCATTCATTCATTCACAGACAATTGTTTTGTTTCAGGGGGTTATGATTGGTGAATCATAGGAGTGTTATTAGGTAATTATGCAATGTAATAGCACTATATTAGGAATATACATTTTCCATGGGCTGAAAATGGCATGATGTTAACAGCATTAACTTGACATGAGATTAATGTCCGACTCTGTTTACCAATACATAGATTACTTTATTTTGAACCTCAGTTTCCTCATACTACTGAGTATTGAATACTTTGACTTCTTATTATTTATAGTTTAATTTTAATGTATTTTATAAAAAAGAAATAGTAAATTATAAAGAAGAAACAATCTCCCTCCTTCAGCCCATTCTTGATCTCACTATTTTTTTCTATTATGTACACATACATACAAATATTTTTATAGCCTGATTTTATTTTTAAAACTAATTAAATAATGTAATAGTTTTATTCATCTTTCTCTTTCACTTAACAGTACATTTTAGACATCTTTCCATGTAAGTACATACATTTCTTTTATAAATATTCTTGATTGGAGTATAACTCATACAGAAAAATCACAAATTTTAAGCATATATAATTCAGTGAATGATCACAAAATGAACCTGCTCATTTAAATACCACCAATTACAGAAAAAGAACATTATTTACATTGTCTGAAGTCCTATCAATCACTACTTTATTTCCTCCACTAATAGTAACCACAATCCTGATGTTTAACATAATTACTTTTGCTTCATTTTAATCTTCATATTAGTGGATCATACTGTATATATTCTTTTCTGTCTAGTTGGTTTTGCTCAATATTATGTTGGGGAGACAGCATTCATGCTAAACTTTATTAATTTTTTATTGCTTTAATATTCTATTAAACAAATATTCACAATTCAGTTATTCCTTTTTCTATAGATGGCCATCCCCCTCCCAGTTTTTGGTTATTATTCATAATACTGCTATGACAACCTTGTATGTGTCTCATGGATTGAAGTGCATGTCCTTCTATTGTGTATATAACTAGGAGTTGAATTATTCTGTGAGTATGAATATAAATAATTTAGTAGCTATTGCCAGTTTTCTAAAATGATGTTCCGATTTAACTTTTTACCAGCAGCATATTAATATATAAGAGTTATAGCTGCTCCATCTTCTTACCACCACTTGGATGGTCACCTCGTAGATTTTAACTATTCTGTGTTTATTATTGTAGCTTTAATTTTCTTCACATTAGGGAAGTTGAACATATTTTCATGTTTAGTGGCTATTTTGGTATCCCCTTTTGTGAAATGTCAGTTTGTATTTCTTGCTCATATTTCTGTTCCCCCCTTATTGATTGTAGAGTTATATCAAAGTATAGATCCGATAGCTATATCTATAGTCATACATATGTATGTGTATAGGATACAAGCTCTTTGTAAAACATACATATTGAAAATAACTTCTCCAATTCTGTAGACTGTCTTGCCAATCTTAACGGTGAGTTTTGATGAACATATGTTCTTAATTTTAGTGTAGGTCAATTTATCAATCGTTTCCTTTGTGATTATTATTAGTACTTTTTACATCATCTATTGGATAAAGCAATAGTATTAAAGATTTAATAATAAAATACAAGTAGCAAATAATATCATAAAATGGTTGAAAATCACTCTTTTGAGATCCTCCTAAATGTCCTTTACTAGAATCCACACAACTCATCCAGGTTTTTACCACGCTTCTGAGGACTTGAGCTGTACAAAACCCTGAATTAGTCTGTGCCTGGCAGAGGGTAATGCAGCTTCCTCTTCTCTGACTCTCCTGAGATTCACTAGCAGTTTTTGGACTTCTACTCTTTAGTGTTTTCCCCATGACTTCCCATTCAATTTCTGAGGCTGCTTTTCTCTGAACTTGGAGTATAATGAGTAATTTTTAGTATATTTTTGACTTTTATTTTAAAACTGGGGGAGGGTGTTTGGAGCAATGGGAACACATTTAGAAACACAAACTTTGTACCAGCATCTTGTGTTTTCTCTAGAGGAGCTCATCATTAAGCCATTGAAGGAAAGCCATTCTGTTGTTTCACTGAAAAGATGCTTGATGATGCATTAATGAAGAAGTGAGAACCTACCCTCTTTTGAAATAATTCTTTATGCTTTAAGGCTGTGTGGTAATTTTTTTTCAATAAATCATGTGTATTGAGTTTTCTGAATATTTATTCAGAAAATATTCTGAAACTCTTACAATATATAATTCTCAAATTTCATTTATCCTAATAAAATCATTGATTGTATCTCTTGATTAATGCAACAAACTGATGAATTTCAGAGGGAAGGGGGTGGACAGGAAGAGATTAACCAAAGAATTTATATGTATACTAGAGGCCCAGTGCACAAATTTGCACTGGGGTCCCTTGGCCTGGCCGGCGATTGGGGCTGATCAGGGCTGGCTGGCCAGGTGGAGGGACCACGGGAGGTTGTCCAGCGGGGGTCGGGGGGTGGAGGGAGAAGGGACCGCAGGAGGTTGGCTGGCTGCAGGAGGTTGGCTGTGGGAGCACACTGATCACCAGGGGGCAGCTGCTTCATTGAGTGTCTGCCCCCTGGTGGTCAGTGTGCATAATAGCAACTGGTTGACCAGTTGAGCGGTCAAGTGGTTGACCGGTCGCTTAGGCTCATATATATATATATATATATAATATATATACCCATAACCCATGGATAGACAATAGTGTGGTGAAGGCCTGGGGAGGGTGTGGTACAATAGGGGGAAAAGGGGGGGCATTTGTAACACTTTTGATAATAAAGATAAAAAGTAAAATAAATATGCTGCCTAGAACAATAAATAAAATCATTAATTGCAAAACAACAGACTCTAGTTTCTAAATATTATAGTCTTTTAGAGAGTAAACCCTATAATTATAAATCTGAAATTTATATATACCATATTTATACAGGGTGGGGGCAAAGCAGGTTTACAGTTATGAGTACATGAAACATAGTTTATTCTTGTATTATTATTTCTTAATTATTATATTAATAGAGGCCCGGTGCACAAAAATTTGTGCACTCGGGGGGGAGGGGGGGTCCCTCAGCCCGGCCTGTGCCCTCTCGCAGTCTGGGACCCCTCAGGGGATGACCACCTGCTGGCTTAGGCCCGCTCCCCGGGGATTTGGCCTAAGATGGCAATCAGACATCCCTCTGGCAGCCCGGCAGCCCTCAGGGGATGTCCACTTGCCAGCAGGGAGCAGGCCTAAACTGCAGTCGGACATCCTTAGTGCTGCTGAGGAGGCAGGAGAGGCTCCCACCTCCCGGCTGCCTGGCTGCCGGCCGCCATCTTGGTTGGCAGTTAATTTGCATATTGCCGCTGTACTGGCAGCCATCAGCCTGGCTTGTGGCTGAGCAGAGCTCCTCCCATGTGAGAACGCCCTGACCACCAGAGGGCAGCTCCTGCATTGAGCATCTGCCCCCTGGTGGTCAGTGTGTGTCATAGTGACCAGTCATTCCCAGTCCTTCTGCTGTTAGGGTCAGTTTGCATAGTACCCTTTTATTATATAGGATAGAGGCCCTGGTGCACGGGTGGGGACTGGCTGGTTTGCCCTGAAGGGTGTCCTGGATCAGGGTGGGGGTCCCGCTGGGGTGCCTGGCCAGCCTGGATGAGGGGCTGATGGCTGTTTTCAGGCTGGCCACACCCCCTTTAGGGTGGGGGTCTCCACTGGGGTGCCTGGCCAGCCTGAGTGAGGGGCTTAGGGCCGTTTTCAGGCAGGCCACACCCTCTTCAGGGTGGCGGTCCCCACTGGGGTGCCTGGCCAGCCTGAGTGAGGGGCTGATGGCTGTTTGCAAGCTGGTCAAGCCCCCCAGCTGGGATCCTCCCCCTGTGGGTGCCTGGCCAGCCTGGGTGAGGGGCTGTGAGGGCTGTTTTCAGGCTGGCCACACCTCCTTCAGAGTGGGGGTCCTGCTGGGGTGCCTGGCCAGCCTGGGTGAGGGGCTGAGGGCCGTTTTCAGGCTGGCCACGGCTGCGGGCTGGAAGCAGGTACCTGGGATTTTTCTATCTTCTATAATTGAAACTTTGTAGCCTGGAGCGGAGCTCAGGGCAGGCGGGAAGCTTGGCTTC